CTCAATAATTGGCCCTTTATTACACCACGTTTACGAATTAATTGACTATCCATGTTTTTTTTAGAGAATTAAATACTTTTAGACACTAATTTACTCAAAGTTTCATTAGTTATTATACTAATTAAATATTAGTTATTATACTAATTAAATCCTTATGCAAATAAACAATATTACAATACAAATATTAGATATCTAACCGATCAAATTAAGTACATAAACTCTTAGTACCTGTATTATTTCAAAGAAAAGGTGGTAGAAATCAACAAATGTTTGCCAAAATTACGCAAATGTGACTACCTAGTATTAAATATTTAATTTACCAAACCGATCAATTAATCTTTTACTTCTTCTTTGCACTATTAAATATTTATTGCCAATATTACGCAAATTTAATATTAAAGAATTGTAAATTATAATTATAATCGTATAGGCTTGCCTCAAAAAAGGACAAAAATGGTAAAAATGGAACACACTAACCTTTTCTTCAGCTACCAGGAACTTAAACTTCTATTTTTCGGCATAAATATCCTTCTCGAAGGACCAATGGATGAGCCCTTGCGTAGTTCGGGTAATTTTTTGGAACTAAATCAAGACACTCGATACTCGCTGGATTACAAAAATGTATAATTTAACCGAACAAGTAAATACATTAACTTTTATAACTTTAAACTTGAGAATACAATAAAGCAGAGACATCACACAACTAGTCTCTGCCAACAACAAAAATATTCTAACAATCTACATCTTACTATCTATCTTAAAAATACTCTTTTTAGTCTTTTATGACGCCACATGTTATGTCCGACCCTTGCACCGCTGAAGAGAAAGTTTTAGGGCACTTTTGAAATACTCAAGGCCTATAAGTTATAGGCCCAAATCTAAAAATTGTCAAAGGCCTCAACAGCTGTTTTCCGTTGCTTACCTTGGTTATGGTTTTATGTTCCGTTTCTATAGTTTTCCTGAAAGTTTTATTATTACGGAACACGATTCCTGAAAAATATCTAAATATAGTATATACTAGAAATCTCATAATTGTCACCAAACTAACCAACACGGCAAGCGTCATACAAAGGACGGGAATGCTGGTTTTTCTGGTTCTGTTTGTCAATCAATGTCATTTATGTGGCAGAAATAAAGCAAAAATTGGAAGTTTGAGTGAAATTCCCATTTAAATTACAAAATTTCTGTTATTATTTCGTACTTATATCTAGAAGCAATGGAGGTAAAGGTAAAGAATTTTTATTTTTCATAAATAGAGTGATTTTTTAGGACCATTTAAATTTATCATGCCGCCATTGTTTCTTAAGGTTAAGAACATTGGACGAAATCATGAGAAGCGAGATAAGAAGTAATTATGGACGTTTTGTATACTATGAAAATATAAATATTTATTAGATTTATTTATTTATTATTGATTTATTTTAATATCGATCATTGGAGCTGTTTGATGAGTTTACAGTTCATTAGTAAAGTACAACTTAACAACAAGACGTGAGAAATCACTATCGTGTGCGCGACCGGTGCTATCCCCAAGTCTCTTTCTATATTTGTACAACTGTACATTTCAATATTAAACATACATTAATACATAAAATAAATACATCAATGAGTAAAAAATAAGTTCTATAATAAAGGTATTAAAATTTTGTAAACGACAATGTTTGACGTATCCAGTATTTTATCAAACCGTTCCGTAACTAACCGATGTTTTTCAGGAACCGCTCTTTACCTTACTATACCGGTCTGGTTTACCTGGTTTTGCAACGAAATACAGCTTTATAAAAATATTACATTTCGAAAAGAAGCAAAATGTTTTATTTACAATTAAAAATGCACGGCATCAGATACAGAACGGAATGCGTTAAAAATGTGTTAGAGTAAAACGACTATACCTATATAGATAAACTATAACTAAATTAACCTAAACCTGTCTTAAACCTCGCGCCCGTTAATATCCGTTAGCGCATTTAATTTGCTTTGAGGCATCATATAACATATGAAAGCAGTTTTTGTCAAAAACATTTTTGACTAAAACTGTTTTGCTCTTGCAATGTGCGTCCAGCCTTAAGGAATATGAATTAAAAATTGGTATAAGAAATAGTCTAATACTTTTTGAATGCAGTGAACTACGAGATCACTGTTGGAAAAATGATGGATCACATGCGTATGAGAGAAAAGACCAGGAGCTAATGCTTAGTGATGGGATAACTCGAGCGAAAATTCGGTCGATTACTCGATTATTGAAATTACCGACATCACTCGATTATGAACGACCAATGCAAGTTACGAGCGACGAACGCAAGCAATCTAAGATGAAATAAATTGAATTCCCATTTTAACTTTTAATCTGACATACTGATGCAAAACGAGCGGATTTGCTACAGACATTGCAGGTAGTAAATTTATACGACGTGACGATAGTTATCCAATGAATATCTGGGTGACAAAATTTTACGACATACATCTACAATGCTTTAAACTAAACTAAATCAAGCGAATTACTCGTCACTCGTCGCTTGCTACTTGCCACTCTCACCGAAAGAATATGTACTTTCCGCACACAACAAGCGGCCCATACATTATCAAACAAATTGCGCAACACAGGCTGTTGCGCAACGAGATGCCAATGTATGACCCTGTTTGATGCGTTGCGCAATTGTTTGATAAGTTTCAAGAATGTTTGAATTCTTTTAAGCAACGGGACTGTTTGCACAACGCGTTGTGTAGTATATGTGTGTGTTGTGATTCGTTGTGTAATATTTTAGTTGTTTAGGGACGTCGCTTTTTTCTCGAACAATGCACAACTTTTAATAAAAAGTTTGATCAAAATTTTGCCAAGTGTATGGGGGATTCAAAAGTTGTGCAACGCAACGTTGGGCATCGCTTTGTTGCGCAATTTGTTGATTATGTATGGGCCACTTTGGGTACAAACATAGTGGGGCATTCGATGCGATGCTCGCCGCGATGCATCCTACGCGCACGTTTTAAGCACTGTTTTAAAATGGCGAGTAAGTGCGCGTAGGTCATCACGGCGAGCATCGCATCGAGATGTCTCACTATGTAGGTACCCTTACTGCTTGGCGTTACGAGTTGTGAGTACCACAAGCGACGGGCGAAAATCGGTATTTTTAAATACGAGCGATCACTCGATTATTGAAATCGCTTGAAACTCGTGTACTCGATTATTGAAATTATTCGGTTTTTCCCATCACTACTAATGCTCTACGCAACGCAAATATTTATATTACTTATTTTATTTTACTCAGCCCTGCTGATTATATTTTCAGTAGGGTTAAATCAGAAAAAAATGTAATATATTTGTTGTTAATAAAATAATATAAAACGGTTTATGAATACAACAAAGGAAAGCAGCAATAATATTTTATAACTAGGAGTGTATAGTTGGGTCACTCTAAGTTTGAACACCAAGCTGTTTTTGGTCGTTTGGTGTTCTGCCTTACAGTGAGCGGACTTTACACAAGCATCTGCAACATCTTTGACTTAAGAACGAGACCAACAGTTCAACATGTGGGATCTTCAGTTCTCGAATATAGTTAAATACATTGAAACTTTTTCCAGCTCGTTGATTTTTGTGAGACACAGAAACGTATTTATACAGGGTGTTTCAAAAAACATGTACCATCTCTCGTGAAAAGATTCCTCGCGTAAAAATAGGATTTATTTTTCATAACAACATAGGTCCGATACTGTTTTGTTTCGTAGCTACAGGGTGTTAAAATCTTAATATTTTTTCTATTTATTTCAATTTGCTTCCAAGTACTTCTAGCGTTCCGAATGAAATTTTCGAATGAAAAAGCTAAAAAAGTTTCGACATATTCACCAAGAACGTGCATATAGGTTATAACTGGAATATTTTTCTAAAAAAAGCATGTACGCCACTGACTTTTTTCCTCTTGTTAGGAAAATAGTGTAAGCAGTTCCTATAAACATGGGTATGGAAATGCATAATTTTAGAGTTACAAAATGTTAAAACTTTTTAAATTAGGTATATTGTAATTATCTTAAATACCATTATGTTTTATTTGAAATTGCTGTAGGTTGGGTTAGGTTAGGCTAATAGTAATAATAACTAATAGTAATAATATTTAATAGTAAATTAATTAAAATATATAATTTATTAATTTTATTTTTATTTTTATTTCATTAATTGTGATTAATAAAATTGCCTTTATCTCATCAAGGAGGCCGAATTCGACAAAATATCAGGAGATAACTTTTAATTGACATTAAACGGCCTACACAATTTTGATATCAAAAGAAAAAAAAGTCAGTGGCGCACATGTTTTATTTTTGAAAAACATTCCATTGATAAAAGATAGATAAGATAACCCATATGCAGGTCCCTGACGAATTTATCGACACTTTTTTAGCATTAAAATATGTAGCACTTATAGTAACATTTACCCTCAAAATTTCATTCGAATTATTAAAAGTACTTGGAAGAAAATTATAATAAATCGAACGATTATTAAGACTTTAACACCCTGTAGCTACGAAACAAAGCAGAATCGGATCTATGTTGATATGAAAAATAAATCTTATTTTTAAGTGAGGGATCTTCCCACGCGAGATGGCACATGTGTTTTGAAACACCCTGTATATTATTATTATTCATTGTCAAAGGATAGTCTAAGTTAAGGAAGATTTAGGTGGGAACAAACTTATGTAAACTAAAACTAAAACTCCTCTGTTTTACAGATATGTAGATGACTGCATAACAATGGTACCACAAGGACCAGTAAAAAATTCTCGAAATATATTTAGCGCATATTATAAAAACTTATAGTTCAACACTGAAACTGAAAAAGTAAATATTAAAATAGGTATGATATTAGAAATAAATAATATCACATTAAAACAAGCTGGTGTAACAAAGAAATGTGGCCAACGTATGATGAAGATTGTTACAACTACAATATTGGAATAAAATACTTTGTTCGTGATTATAATACATATTTTTAAGATGGTTTTCATTTCAGATGAGTTTTGTGAAGAATTTCCACATAGCTTTATACCCACCCCTGGATACTGGATTGAATGCTCCAGGCAGAAAATTACATCTGATACAATTTGGGACGAGAGCGAGTCAGATCACGGCAACGAGCTACCGGAGGGTAATGAAGAAACCACGGATGGCACTGATCAGGAAAATGACCAAGAAATGAGAAGAAGGGAAAGAAGTAAATAATTTTTGAGATATATATTTGTAACTTTTTAAGGAAGCAAAATAGCAGTTCATAATTTTATGATATTATTACACACAACCGCAATAAAATATTTTAAAACATGTCGCCAATTACTATTATAATTTTTATTGCATTCGTCTATATTTTCGATTATTAGATTATAGATCTAAATTATACGTTAGATTATAGATTAATTATTTCGATTAGATTATAGATCTCTGGTCCAGTACATCTTCCAGAGATTCGGGAAGGCTATAATAATATTTCTATGCTATTCACCAGATATGAACAATGGGATTCAAATCTGCAGACTGCGGTGGCTCTTGTAAGATATCAGTATGGATGTTATTCTCCAAAATGTTCATTGCAGTCCTTGACTATTTCATCTGACGTTGTCATGCATATAAAAAAGAAGTTGAGAGCCATAGCCGCAACGTATGGAATAATAACAGGTTCTAGTATCTGATCAGCATGCGAACTACCAGTTAGTTAATATCTCCTTAAAATACACCCACGTCATCTGTATCTTTCCCCGACATCACCACTTTCCCGATATCATACGCGAAGATGTGATATCACGCTTTTTGTAAGACCACTTTTTTTCACAATATCAATTTGTCGCTTACCCCCATTTGGCCTACCGCTCTAATGATTTATTCTCGACTTAAGTGTCTTTGCTTTATGATTTACAGGAGCAGGAGTATACTGAATAATAGCAATGAACACTTGAGATATTACAAATATCAGTCAAAAAAATTCACTAACCCTTTGAAAATATAGACTAAAGAATATAATCACAACGGATAATTAAGATAAGATGTTATACATGTGCTCATACAAATTCGTGATATTTAATCGTTAACAAAAAAAAACAAGGTAAAAATGAAAATATACCTAGAGTTTGTGGTTGTGTGTATTATATTGTAATAGTTAACAAAAAATGTTTGTTTGAAAAAACCTTCTTATCATTAAGAATAATGAACTCACTAGTGGGTCATTGTGGGATCGTTAGGTTAGGTTATTTGCATATTAATGACAGAAAAAATAATTACTACATAATCCCATATAGACAAAGACCGTAGATAAAATGATCTCTAGATTTGTAATAATTTACATGATTCTATGCAGGTTGTAATGACTTATATGAAGATGACGAAGAAGATGACAACTCACTACCTCGGAAAAAAACGACGATAGAGGAGCAATGGGAAAAAAATCAGGGTTTTGAATTAACTAGTGTAGAACAGGAAACATACGAGAAATATTTTTATGGTACAGAGCATTGGAACTACTTTACTAACGACGAAGATTTGGGACCCGTTATATTATCTATAAAACAAGAAACATTAAACAACAGGGATCAATTTAGGTACTTACTATTTTCAACTAAGCAAATAAAGATAATACTCATCACCCCTTTGATTTTAAAATTATTTTATCTTTTTTATAATACAACAGTCAAGTTCCTTAATTCAAGTCAAGTCCTTAGATTTCAATTCCACCGCAAAACAAGAATCCTAAGAGTAGTTTGAATACTACACTTCATCATCCTTTTTTTAATCATATAGTACATTTGACTAATTATCAAGCGCGATCGGTTCAAAATACGTAAAAGTCACCATAATTGCCCTCAAACTAAAAGATTAAAGCAAACAATATCATATTATTGTTGGATTTTTGCTCATTTAACTTACGTAAACGTTTCTTGGTAAAAGTCAATCTGAAGTTGTATTCTTCATTGTCATTGTTGTAGATAATTATAGTTCATTCATTGTTGTAGATAGTTATTAGACGGACATAATAAATCTAGATTTTTTTCTGCCCAAGATTCTACAGAAACTATATAAAGTAAAAATGTAGTGATTATTTCGATTCCAACAAATATCCCGATAACAATTTTCCATAGCAATTTTTACCAAGCCGAGAGTGGGAACTTGTTTGCGTTAAAATCAGCGGAAATATTTTTTTCTATCAACAGCTTAATAAAGGTACAGACAAAAAGTTATTATTAACAAGATCCCAATGGGCTCTTTCACTATATTTTGGAATTAGCATAATTGAATAAAGCAATTAATTCTAGAATTTTCTGTTATCTCACTTTCGAAAAATTTGAAGTCGTTCTTAAGAAAATAAATAAAAACAAAAAAGCCCAGAATAAAAATCCGCACTTTATTTTTAATACGTCACACCTGGCATGTTGAAAAGCGGCAACACGGCTGCGGCCGGGCCACCATGCTGACCCACCACCACCTCCACACAAGCCCATTCTACCTTTTCCAATATGGCGGAGATAGAAATGCTTTATTTGGCGCGTATTTTAAAACCTGTTTTATATCCAAATAGACATTTTTCACACAAATGTCGGGTTAGATTACGTAATATTTCACTAATTTTTTAATATACAGGGGTCTTCTAAAGTTCTCTACATAGGTATGAAATTTTTTGTATTATTACTTTTATGAAAACATCAGTTAGTTACTTTTTTATTTAAGGTCTGCTTTCTCAGAAAATAGGTAGTGTTAAAATATTCAGACTTGAGGTAGCATATATAGGGTGTTCAAATCATCGGAAAAAGAAATAACCAGAAATATATGACAGAAAATAGCAATATAAACTAAATATTCAATTGCAAACACTTACCTACCATAGTTTAGAATTTACTGAACGTTTGATAAATATATATTATTATGGACAGTATAGGAAATTACTTGTCTTAGAAAAAGCGTTGGTAAATGCTCTTGGAATTATAAACTGCACTGACTTGGGTCAAAAAATATGGAATATTTTTTCAGCATTACACAAATGGGAATAAATTTAAACTATAATAGGCGAGGATAAATAAAAAATATATCTGTTTCAAGATTTTATATAGAAAAAAAAAACTAAATACCTTTTTGGGGGTTCGTAAGTAAAACTTACGCTTAGCTTAGTTTTCTTTACTCTTTCTCTTTACATAGGGCATTGTCTTTGTGGTAAAGACGTCATTCCTTTTTTTTGCATAGTTCTTCAATAAAATATTGGATATTCTGAACAAAATGGATTTATTAATAAATTTTGACGTATGTGAGGGGCAATTGTGACCTAAAAAAAGACTTACATCCAGGCCATTTATATTTTCAAATGTCAATGTTGTCAATATCTTTCTGTGATCTTTTTGATGTAAAAAGCTTGATTCTTCCTCCAATATTTTACTTATAGTGAGGTAAGTGTAAGCAGTAGCCATAACTACATCCTCACTAGGGTAACAGAGGCTTTGGCCTTTGGTCTTTTTGAGGCATATTTAATGCACTTCTTACCCGAGAACTACTAGTAGGAGTGAAATTATCTCTTTTAATAGCTGTCAACCATTTTTTACGAAGCTCGTCATTTTTGGGAAATATAAAAGCAGAAACCTTGGGACCCCCCTATAATTCCCGTGACAATTTGGAACAGAGCATGTAAAAGGCATGCTACAATAATATTTTATTACCTACCCTTTAATACCTATCTTTTGATTATTGTAAGTAACCATTATAAAGTGCTATGCAAACTGGCGGCGAAGGCTTTTTACTTATTTAGGTGTAATATATTGATAAATACTTCTAGTTCTTACCTTAAAATAATTAATAATAGAGGAGTACGACAAGCACAAAAGTTTGAAGTTCCCTATGTGGAATGTCTGGTTTGGATTTTTATTACACTGTTATTTTATCACAATTTTCTGATCACACCATGCACTGAACACTAAGAACTAAACAAACGTGTTGCAGAAGCACAACAAACTAGAGATAATTAATTATTTCTGGTATGCAATCGGAACGAGAAACCACTACCGGCTTTTCAGGTTAAAGGTAAACAATTTAATAATGCGCTGCCTTCGCCGCCATATTTGCCTTGTCCATATCATGTTGATTAGCCTTGAGTTGAGGTGGTGCTGGTCAAATCAAATCGCAATGTTGCCAATTGTTGGCTGGCGCACGAGCACGGTTCTGGATGTTCATCAATTGGCACTTTAAAATTATTTCAAATTAAAGCAATTTTGAGGGCTTATAAAAAAATTATTCAATGTCATGGAACTATTTTTTTTGGATAAATATACTGAAGATAATCTTCTATTTCAGATTTTGTCCTTGAATTGGGTATTTTATTTTTTGTGAAAGAGCCCATTAGACCGGTTATCTCTTTCGTAGATTCACCTACTTATAAATTATCTACTTGGCTAAATCAATTTTTAAAAACACTTTATAAGAATACCTTTAATTTTACAGTAAAAAATAGCTTGGAATTGACTAATAAAATTTAATAATTAATATAAAACCTTTTTACTAATATACCTACTGTGGAAGTATTTAATATCATTAAGAATAATTTAATAGCTAATGATTTTGACATACAACCTGTTACTGAATATCTAAGATTGCTGGATATTTCATTAAAACAAAATTTCTTTATATTTAATAATGAAACTTAAGTACAGCTTGACGGTTTAGCAATGGGTTCACCCTTGTCTCCGATTTTGGCCGATATATTCATGCATAATTTTGAGACAACTTACAAAAATAATAATAAGTGTTTTACTAAATATATTAAGTTTTATGCGAGATATGTTGATGATATTTTGATTATATGGTCGGGTGACAGGTCTCTGTTGAGTGATTTCCTGAATTATGTCAATGAGTTACATTACTCTATTAATTTTACCATGGAATTACAAGATAAATATAATCGTATTAACTTTCTCGACTTGACATTGAAGATTTTGAATAATAAGATAGAGTTTGAAGTTTTCAGGAAACCAACACATAGAGGACTTACTATTAACTATCTCTCTAATCTAAGTATGTTGACAGATTAATTAAACTCCCTCTGAATGAGGCAGCTTATAATAAAGAGTTAAACATTATCAAACAAATAGCTCATGCAAATAATCTACCACTTAGGTTTTTGGATAGGATTATTTCTAAGTTTCAAAACAAGTATATTCAGACACTTGTGTATGCTGAGAATAACTTAACACAGTTGGTGGATTATGATATTACTAATACTTATAGATCCTTGACTTACATTAATAATTTTTCTTATAGTTTAGCTAATTTGTTTCAACCATTCACTAAAATTTCCTTTAAAGTTAATAACACAGTTGGTAGATATTTATTGAATAATAAAGATAAAAAAGAGATAGTTTAGATCTGAGTGGAGTTTATGAATTGTCCTGCGACACTTGTAGTGCTAAGTATATTGGTCGGACTTTTCGGAATTTTAAAACTAGGATTAAGGAACATCTTAGGTGTTGTAGGGCGACTTCTTCAGGTTTTTCACACATTTTGCTGACCATCTGGTTAGTAGTGACCATAACTTTGATTTGAATAATAATTTTAGAATATTACATAGAACAAACAAGATTAGTTTTTTGAACCATGCTGAATCCTTTGAAATACAGAAAGCCTATAATAGAAAGGATTGTTTATTGCTTAACTCTCAAATAGCATTGGATTCTATACCTGTTTATTTTCAGTTTACATCATAGAGAATTAAAGTTTTGAATGATTTAACACAATTTAATTATAAAAAAATAATGTTCTACAGTGATATAATTTTCGTTATTCTGCTTATATCATAACCTATTACAAATAAAAAAAAATATCCACCTTTTGTTCCATTTCTTTATTTGCAGATATTTATAACAGGGTTCTGTAATTACTTCAACCAATTTTTCTGATTTAGTAGTTACCTACTTATTAATAATACAACCTTTTGGTTCCCACACATAGAGGTCGCTTATGGTTTAATTTGTTCATATTTTAATATTAAAAAAATTGATTTTTTCGGGTAAGAAACTAATCTTCATATCTGGGCTATCAGCGTTTCTTTTTAAAAAAAAACTAAATATGGATGCAGAGTACCCCCTTTCTTGATTTAAATTTTACATTATCACAGAAACTGTCTTAAGACGAACGTCCATTCTCGTCAAAAATTAAATATTAAAATAAAAAATCGAAATAATATGGTTTGGAGATTATGATATAGATATTTGGTATTACAACGAAATGCTCCCTTCTTGAAGAGTTATATAATTTCTAATTACGATGAATGAGTTGTGTAAATGTTAACAGCTCAAATTGGTTTTATTTCTTCTGAGTGGTTGTACTTCCTAAGTGACTTTTGTGTGAGTATGCTTTTATTTTAAAGAACACAAGTTTAATTAAATTAAAATAAAAAATAATTCTTCTACATAATATATAAATTAAAATAAATATTAAATTTCTTAAAATTAAACTAAAGTAAATATTAATTTTCTACAATAAATAAATTTAAAATGTAAATTAAAATACAACATATACTAATTAAAAAATAAAAAATAAACATTATTCTTAACTGATTCTTAACTAACATAACTAAAAAATGTATCCTACAAAATTGAATATCAGCATATACAGATTGAAGTAATTTACTCTCAACTTACATTACTAATACAAGAAAATATACAAAAAAATATATAAAAAAATATATCACTAAAAATAAATTTAACTATTGCTTAAGTATTTTTCTTTGAATTTTGCATTGAGGTATGATTTGATTATTACCTTGTTCTTTCTTTCAATTTATCTAATTATGGTGGATTATACGGCTCTCCTCACCTTATGATTTTAGTCTAGTTGTTTTTAATTTTTCAAATTTTACATACCATATTGTTATCTGTGATTGAACAATTTTTGTGATAGATATAATTTTTAGACTTTGTAAAAAAAAATTCTTTTACTTTTTAACTTGTTTGTGATTGCATTTTATAAATTTGACCTCTGTAATTGTTTTTAGCTTTGGGCCTGAAGATGCGAATATTTTAAATTCCCGAAACATGTCGCCCCCCTTGCTTTTTTTAAGCATTAAAAATTGTTTAAATTAAAGAACTTAAAGATTGTGAGTTATTGTCCTTTTACCCTCCTTCAAAGGTTTGCTTTGATAAAAAGTTATACTCTTCAAAACAGTTAAAAATTTAGGCGGCGCTGGCGCCCCCTACAAGGGGAGTCATGCTAAAATCGAATCAAATTTCTCATATCGGGAAACATCCAGACATCAATTTTCATCCAAATATCGACGTTAGTTCAGAAATTAGTTGGAAAAAGTCGAAATAAAAATGAAACTTCTACACCTTGTATCTGAAACCAAGCATTTTAGGACATAACTTTGTACTACTAACTTTTATAATTATTCTTATCTGTAGAATATATTGCCGAAGTTTCCCGATTACAATTTGTACAACCCTGTATATTGAAAAATCAATATTTTCGTCGAACAAATATTATTTCTTTCTTCAAAAAGTTTCATTTGCATTAAATTACTTAAAATACGATATATTTAAATATTTTTATGTAGAAAGTACCTTTATTAAAAATCTATTAAAAAAAAGTATAAGACTTGTATTCTTAGAACCATGACCAAGACTGGATCCTGTAAGACCAAGACCAAGCGAGTCTTGATCTTGACCTTACATTTGCTCATCACTAGTAAGGAATCACAAATCTTGAGATATATTTAAAGAAAAAAGTTTCCATTTTTTGTTAATTGTATATTATTTTTATTTATTTTGCGTATTGGTTTCGGCCTCCCCTTTATTTTAGATGTATTAGTTACTATTCTTATAAAAAATATTCATGTATAGTAACTTAACTTCGTTTCTAAATTAATTCTTTTATTTATTTCAGAATATTAGTAAGAGCAATAAGTTATACAGTGCATGGATTAATACCAGCTAGTTGCGTTTTTGCTGATCGTTACAATCGAGAAGAAGTGGTTCGTTCATTAGGAAAAGAAGTTAATATAAATCCACCTCTAATATTGGGTCAATTACCAGATACTCCGGAGGAGCTTTTAAAATTAGACCAGGTTTGAAACGTCTCTTTTGAAATTATTAGTTACTTACACACACGTTGAAAATGCTACAAAATAGTAAATCATTTTGTTAAAATATTTAAAACGATTTCCTGTTTTGTGTAAATTTTTAAACACATTATAATATAAACATATAAAAACAGTGTATATAATACAAAATATATTAATATTACACAACAACACATACACATATTAATAATTACAAAACAGCACTAGAATAACAAATAAAAACGAAATAATAAGCCTGGTAACAATCTTCTACAGCGACCTATATAAAGCTCCAGAAAACATACATGAAGAAGAAAGACTGCCACTAGTACAAGATGATGCCCCAGAAGTTTTCGTGGGAGAAGTAGACAAGGTGCTTCAAGGTATGAAAAATGGAAGAGCAGCAGGGAACCATAGAATCACAGTTGTAATACTTAAGTACGCTGGTAGGAGAACTTTCTAGCAAGAGAAGAAGTAGGTAGGAGAATGTAGGTAGAATGCCACTCTATCTAAAGAAGAAAGCATTCGACCAATGTGAGTATACTCCCAGTCATGACCTACGCATGCGAAACCTGGACACTTAAAACGGACTTTATAAGGAAACTGCAGGTCGCACATCGTTCAGTGGAACGATATATGCTGGGAATAACCAAGAGAGACCGTAAGAGAATAGAGTGGATATGACAAAAGACCCAGGTTATAGATGTCATCCACAGAGTCAAATCCCTCAAACGGCAATGGGCAGACACCTGGCAAAAAGAACAGACAACAGATGGATTACAAAAATTACAACCCACGAGGAATTAAAAGACCTAGAGGGGGACCGAACCTGAGATGGGACCATAATATTAGGGCGTTAGCAGGGATAACTTGGATCCGCATAGCCAACAATAAATAGACAACAATGGGCCCAACTACAAAGAGAGTATGTAATGGAGGCTACACCAATTTGAAATGATTGAATAAGCTGAAAATGATGATGATATTGTGTATTTTATTTTAATACAATAGTATATTTTATGATCGTCAAATCAGATTTAAAAGTTGAGAATATATACAATACATCAATATAATATAATTTTTTTACAGGTGTTTATAAAATCGGAATTAAAAGTTGGGGTGATATACGTTAAAGAAGGTCAATATACAGAAGAGGATATTTTAGCCAATAATGACAATTCGATGCTATTTGAAGAGTTCTTACAAATATTAGGAGAGAAAGTTCGTTTAAGAGGATTTGATCGATACAAAGGTGGTTTAGACACAGTTCATGATTTAACAGGTAAATATCTATATTAGACAAAAGTTACTCTTAGTATTAAAACTTATTTAGCAATAAATTAAACCCTTGGGAGAATACGAATTCATGTCGTATACCGTGTCTGCGACGCCGTAAATTTCCAAAAGAAAACAGGCCGCATGCACTTATTACATTTCAAAATTAATCATACCATTTAGGTATTTTTAAACAATATAAGTTATTATAAATAGTATTACATAATACCATTTTCTTTTAAGGCATCTACTCTATTTATACTAATTGGAGAAATATTGAGATTATGTTCCATGTCAGCACATTATTACCGTACGAAAGCCACGACCAGCAAAAGCTGCAGAGGAAACGGCATATAGGCAACGATATTGTATGTGTAGTATTTCTGGAAGCTGACAATACATCATTTTCACCCGCATGTATAAAAAGTCATTTTTTACATACTTTTATATTAGGTAAGTAATATTTATAGATATACGGGAGCTATTATTATAATATTTATAGAAAGAGTCAATGATTGAAAAAAGTCAATACAATTCGTGATTGTGAAATTTACAACAATTTTTCGAGTTAAAGTGTTTTCTCGAAATAGTATGCGAACTTGAATGTAGAATGTAGAATGAGTAAGAGGGGGGGGGTTAATCATTGCCACCTTAAAGATCTATTGTGTCCCCCCTTCCTTGAGTCATCAAACCAAACCCATCATACCCCTATTGTAGAGGGGACAGGGTATTTCCCATCCTCCTCTGACAACAGTTCTTCCTGTTGTGCGAACTATCAACGTCTGGTTATTTCAGTAAAATATTATAATTTATCCTTGGAAAATTTGATACTCTTGAAACTTGTTTCTAAATATTCTAAAATTTTTGATTTTCTTGGGATATAGGTTTGGTTAGGTTAGGAGGTACAGTTCGGTTATGTACTAGTATGAGGTTCGGTTAGGTACTGAGTTGAGTACTATTTCAGCCATAGCCATTGTGGATAGTTTTAGTGTTAAGAATAATAATTTAAAATAAAATATGTGGTCATCTTTTGACAAGTTTATATTAGTTTATTAATTGTAGTACCTAAACATTATGTGGTGTGTATGTAATTTTTTGGATTATGTTCGACACTATTTTGTGATATGACACAACACTGATGTAGGCTATTATGTTAGCTGAAACGTTTGTTTTTCGAGGAATCGAAATCAAATTTTTTCGATTTTCAAAATCAAGTAAAGATCATGAAAAACCAAATGAAATGATGAAACACTAACGAACAATAGTTTTCTCTTATAAGTATAGAGGATTGGAAAGAATACTACACGCAATTATTAACAGAAAATCGAGAAGAATTCATGAACAACGCAAATAATGTATATAGAGATATCACAGTACATAAGAACTTCAACATCTATTACAACGGAAGAAATAGAAGAAGCTGTTAAATAAATGAAAAATGGAAGAGCACCCGGACCCGCGGAGATATGAGAGAATTAAAGGCTTATTTAATAATTGTTTACAACAGAGAAAGAACACCAAATGGGTGGAAAATCTTATGATCAAACGAACTTACCTTAAGCGATGTTCGATCTTGATTATATGTAGGCCTCGTCGAAATAAATAATAGTTTGTAGTACCTCCGGATTAGTCCGAACCGATCACTATTTTAAAGCTGAAAAAGCAAAAACACCCGCCGCTCGTCTTGCCGCACTGCTCCAGTCTGTTTTAAAGCTGTTGTTGCAACGGGAATAATTCAAAAATGAATTATAGGGTGGGTTAGGGACTTCGACGAGGCCTACATATATATAATCAAGATCGAACATCACTTAAGGTAAGTTCGTTTGATCTTAAGGTTATATTCCGGCCTCGTCTCATGAGATTATTTATGAATAATAGTTTGTAAATGTTTAAATACATACATGCAACAACTTATTACATCATATCTTATATTTATAATATTTGAAAATGATTTCTCATATCACTTGCGACACAAAAGGTAATAACAGATAACTAACAAAGAAGATACATTCTGTAGTGACACTTTGCCTCCAAAACATTCAAAGTAAATAGAATCTTAAAAATTAGTTAACCTCTGGGGCTAAAATACAGTGAGCCAATTGGGCATTGTCAATTAAAAGTGTATTATATAATCACAAATAAATAAATTATTCTAATCTCTGCCCTGTCATTGGGTTTAGGTTAGCTTAGGTTGCTCGGGTTCGGGATCATGTTTTATCCCTCAGTCGGAGGCCTTGGGCCCATTGCGATACCCCTGTATTTGTCATTGGGTTTAACCACCATGTATTTTTTGTTAATTAAGCTTAAAGTTTGAATTCGATGAACTGTTGCTATTGTTGTTAGGATTATTTAAGTTTCTTTGTTAAAGATTATAGAGATATGTCAATATTAGATTAGATTCTTATATAATTCAGAACATTACTAGGGTCCCAAATCTTTTCGTGCCTTGGTTTTGGAGGGTTTAATCCAAACATACCTTTAATGAACCTTTTCATTCGAGAATCAGAAGACATGTCTGTCATTTATGCCAGCGCATAAGATATAAGTTAAGGGTACCATAAGAAACCCCATTCTTAAGCTGACTAGGATAGGTCCAAGACATTAGGTACCATAAGTACAAAAGGATCCAATTTATTTGGCATGCAAAATTGTTACCATAACTTTAGCCTTATTGAGTACTGCTGGAAGGTAGAACTGGATATTGAAGAGATCTTGATTGTTCGGGAATTCCTTGTCGTAATGGCGGCACCCCAACTCCCTGCTACCAGGAAAAAATTTTTCGACAATAGAATTTGGTTCAAAAATTAGAGGTTTTGACACTAAAAGTGACTTAAAAAGAAGAAAACACCATTATTGACAAGTCCAAAGGGGTATTACAAGGATTCTCTCTGTCTTTTCCCCAATACTTTTTTGTATAACTCTTAAAGCCCATCTTATCTATATCTCCGGATCTCTCACCCAAGAAACAAATTTTACACACTTTTTGTTCAGACGACTTGCAAAAAGATCTATGTGTGAAAAAACAAATTATCTCGGTAATTTTTTCTAAAAACAAACACCGCACCGCAAGACTCCATTCGGTTTCTTTGTATTCTTCTAGATGCTCAGTCAACAAAAAGTGTTGTTATTTGAGGCAATATATGAGTATATAAGAACATAAATATTTCGTTCTTGACACCAGCTCCACATTTTTCTTGCTAAATTGTTTAAAGTCTAGTACTTAACACTACCCATGATGTTAATCATGCACACAGCCGTTGTATTATCAATACAACATAGGTTATTACAATTTAAACAATTAAATGAAACTTCTTAGACCAAAACATACAGCTAAAAGTTCTGGCTCATTTTTATGATAGACTTTCTCTACTTTCGATAAAAAACAAAAATAGTATGACCGTTAAATTAGGTCCCCAGCCAGTTATATTGTGATATTTGAATGTTGAATTTTACTTGAACACCAAGCGAAATCCACGGATAAAGAGGGCAATATATACATATCTGCCTCATAATTACCTCCAGAATATAGTAAGGCTAAAAATGCTTCTCTTCGAACAACTTAGTGTATGAAAAGCATACCTACTTAATAGCTGTAGCAGCTGAAATTAACGATCCAATGAACCGTGAAAAATCTCTTTTACAACTTGTCATATAGGAAAATCTTCCTAATAGTACTATTTTTATTTTAAACGCCTTTCCTTAAACAAAGAAATAATCATAGCTTGTGAATTATACAAAAAACCTAAATATTTATAAATTTGATTTTGTATGAGGTTACTTTTCTCAAATTTTACTATAAACTCTAATTCTTTTAATAAAAATAAATCGAAAATAATGTCTCTTTCACATTATTCTTACAAGCTTCCAGAAAGTTTACAAAAAGAAGGATATCATCTAAATAGGCTACTAATAAGAAACCTCTTTTTCTAAGAAGAGCCGTAATAAATTTTAAACATTTTTTAAAACCCCAAAAGGCAAACAGTTCTCGCAAACTCATAGCGATTTGTTAATATAAAGCCTTATATATTTTTAGTGTGGGTATTTAATTGTAATTTTAATAAACAAGGTAAAGTAGATCTCTTTAGATCTTCTGGTGCCATAAAACTTATTAATCGTATTACAGTTTTATGTTCTTCAATTTTATATTGTTTCCTTTTTTTTCTATCTTGTATAATGGACGCTCTATATTTAAGCACTGCACTAATATATCGTTATGAGTCGCAGACTTACTACGACTCCTCTCTCTATGTCTTTTTCTTGAAGGATTCGGCATTTTCACTGTGATTTCCGCACTCCGACAAATATCAAGGCCCGTATTTATAGTTGCGTCTCGAGACGCCAAGACGGTCTTGGGCTCTTGAGAGCGGAATCCACAGAATACACAAGCGAGCGTCATTTTGGAGATTGCGATTTTCATTTTGGAGATTGTCATTTTGGATAGTTTATGTGATCTGTGGATAGTTTCTTAACCCAACTTTTTTTGTAAACAAAGTAAATCCCTTGTAAATCCGTTTTGTCTGATTAAACAGTTTTGAATATGTTAGATGAGTTTGAGGATATTTTGGACCATGTGGAAGAAGAAAATCGTCTTCGAGTTCCAAAACGATATATAAGGGATGCAGGAAATCCAATAGAAATGTTTAGCTAGGGGAATTTAAATACCGATATAGGTTTAGCAAGGCTACAATTACAGAAACTATTTTACCTCTTGTAATTGAAGACTTGCAAAAACCTACCAATCGTGGTTTACCTATTCCCCCCGTTATTCAATTATTAATTTGTTTACGGTTTTATGCGACTTCTAATTTTCAGATAGTAAGTGGAGACTTGCATGGTGTTAGCCAACCTACAATAAGCCAGATTATCAAGAAGGTGTCCATTTTAATAGCAGAACATTTGAGTGATACAACCATAAATGGTTGAACAGCATTATTATTCCAATGCTACTGGCTTCGGCTTGTGCAGATGATGACAACAAATGGGATACATTATATTAAGAATATAGAAAGAGCTATAAATACATATGTGAATAAATTCACTGGCGAAAAAAACACCTGAATTATTATATGGATATATTCCGAGGATTGAAGATTTATTTGAAGATGGACAAGTGAGGTTATTGACAGTAGAGAATGAAAAGTAGTCGATTATCTGAAAAATTGAGAGAAGAGGTCAAAGAACATATAGAAATAGAACAAAGGAAGTATAAAAAAAATTATAGGCTAGCAGACTAGCAAAAAAAATCTAGACGACAAGAAATAAGGAAGCAGTAAAAACGCAATAATCATATAATGCGTATTGTGAAATATTATTTGAAATAAAACTATAAAACATGGAGTATCGACTTTATATAGAGTGGTCAACTCAATAAGAATACAGAATTTACACCAAGCAATAAAATCTTGAAAATTATAGGTATACGGTGTATACATCCAATATTGTATATTATGTGA